GAGTCTCCTCTTGTCTCTTTGAGGCGGCAAGAGGAAACTTGGATACATTATAACAAAACTAGTATCTGCAAATACATGTAAAATGTAGACAGGAAATAAGTTTGCAGACTTCTGCCAGGTGTGGATTACCAACACGGCAAACTGGGCAGCTGCCCCAGGCCTTCAGGGGCCCTGAAAAGCCTTCATTCATTGTAGGGTTTGGTTTGTGGTGATGTGATTAATGCTTCAAAATAAAACTCCTAATAAATGATGTTAAATCAAAATTAATTGGATCCCCATAGTGAGTTAATTTGGCTATGATTATTAACTTGAGTCTGGAAGGGAGATCCACCATACTGCACTAACTAACACCAACATACAGCCTATAAGATTTAACCAGCAAACACTATACTATTCCCCATCCCTCAGCACTCAGACAGACTTTCAGGTGAAGTTAGAAGAGAAAATGTTTGTCTTTTGTTAATTCCAAATGCAGAGGAAAGTCAAGCCCCCCCCCCACCCCCCCGCTTAGTCTGTTAGCTGGGAGTGCTCTGTGTTTATTCTCCAGCCTGCAGAGCATCCTGATGAATACTGAAGTCCAAATCAAAGTCAGCCTCACTCTAATTACATTCAGAATATTTCTGACTGTGACTTAGAAAGTGAGGTTCTAATTTATTCTACTCTAAAATGATTAAACCACATTATTGAAGCCAAATGGACAGAAATCCACTCCACACAATGGGCCGGACTGAGTCCAGAGAGGAAAAAAAGTTACATGAAGTGAAAACAGTTGAGACAAAAACCAACAGGCCAAAGGACAGAGCAGAATGCCATCTCTAATAGATCTCTTTTTTTAGGATAATGGGTTATGAGTGGTGGTGGACGGCCAGACAGGAGTCATTTTTGGTGGGAGAGTGATTTAGGTGACAGCTGTGGTGATAGAATGGGCCAGATGTAATGGGTAGAAAATGTGCGGATATGCTTTATAGCAGCTGATAATGTAATGGCTGCTGGACAAAGTAATGATTACTTGTCAAAATGTATAAAAGCTCCTCTATAGCCTTTTAATCTATTAGCTCCTGGTTAATAATATAGCGATTATTAGCATGTTATTATAATTTAACATTTATTGGCATTATTATGATCAATTATTTAGAATTTTTGGACGTTTCGATAATGCTGTTTCATTATCTTGCTCTGCATCTTTTTAATAATACAAAAGAAAAAACGAAAAAAAAACCTTCATTTTAATATTTCCATCGGAACCTTTGCCATGACTCTGAGCCAAATGAGTTAAATCATGCCATTTGGTAAATGTCACGCTTTTGGACTATCATTAGTTGATTCCTCGCTGTTTGTGCACGGTGTTAGTGTCCAATTGGCTTTTACGTGGCTTTTCAACAAAGGGCAGCTCCACATGTGGTCCAGGTGTTGAGGGAAGTGCATGCGAGGCGTGTGAAGTCGTTTTTTTTTTCTTTGTTGCAGTTTGTCCAGCTCCAGCTTGTCTTCAGAGAATGACTGGCCACGCAGCGTGCCTTCACAAAGCACTTTCATGGCGGCGCCACGGAGAAGTCTCACCGGCTTGAAAGAGAGATTGCGCTTTCTGCTGGAAGAACAGTGTGACATTAGGTTAGGCCGGAAGGTCTGAATGCAATAATTTCCCATCATCAAGGACACCTCAATTTGAATACTGGCTTTAAAGTCTCACCTCAGATATCACTTAGCTTTGAGATAACGAGGGTGCACGGGTTGGCACTAGTCGTTTTCAGACTGCTGGTTGAGAGAATGGGCCGCTGTGATAAAGGAGACCAGAAGGAATAGGCAGAGGAAATTGCACAAATATGTCCAGTATCATTCTCCCCCGATCCGTTCTCACTCTTTCTGGCATCCTGACCCCTGCCATCCCTCTGTGTGGATGAGTGCTTCCTCGCACCAGGGACCCCGGAGATTGAGGAGAACTCCAGAACCAAGAGCATGAAACCAAACCGATAATGAAATATGGCCGGTTTTTCCTCAAGAAACAAGATAAGGCCGGCTTCTCATCTCTGTGCTGACTATCAGCCTCTCAGGATCTGAGGCGCTTTGTGGAAGGGGTTACGTCTATACACAGCTACACACACACAAACAAACCAGCCTGGACACATGCACATCGCTGTAAGCTATGATACAGCAATTACTGTTTTTATTTGAAAGTGAATGCAAGAAGATGGTGACAGCTCTCACGCAGGCTGATCGCAGCTAATAAACTTATTCTCTTTTAAAGATAAGCATCGGAATAACTGTCTGGGTGTTTTCACATGGAGAAAAATGTGTAACAAACAGCAGAAAATAGATTTAGAAAGACTGACACAGACTAAAGCAGCAAATTTATCATTGCGATTTGTCATGACACACATAATCCAGCTGCTTTCTCATGCAGTATATGAATTTTTAATCTTACTGGTTTATAACAATTTATTGCATCCAGTATTGCTGTTCTCATCATACACTGTAGCCATAACAGAGGCTGTGCTGCATCAAAAAGTGACATCAACACATCCTCTCTACAGGATATGATACTAATCAGGAGCCTGGATGTGCTCAGGCAGCAATAAACAACTAAGAAGGATTCATGAAAGCAGCATTTGGTTCTCATAAAGTTGTAATATTCAACAATTTGTAGCCATGATTTAAGAGTACTGAGGTTCCACCATTACCCAAAACACAGAGCAGAAAAGTCTCTGAAATGTTTGAATTATTAGGACTGTATTTAACTCATCTAACTAAACCTAAAAACTAAAGAAAAACTAATTACTGTGCTACTAGATTAAATAGTTCTTTTCAGGAAAGCTCTTGGGAAATTAATATGAAATTATATCGCCGTAAAATAAAACATTCATTTTATTTTCACGGCTCAAATTTGAAAGAGCATTTCAAAGCAACAAACTCTGGTGGAGGATTACTAAATAATTCATCTGTTTATTTGTACAGCCCTCGAAACTAGTCAGCTTCAAAGAGACTGTTGTGCAGAATGTAAATCCCTCGCTCCAGGTCGCAACTTTAGTGTTAACTTTCTTGTAATTATAGAAAGTAGATATCCCTCTTTTGGGTCGTTAACCTCTCGTATGTCTGTTTAATGATGATACAACCACCTAACGTGACATTTAATACTGTTAACGCCACAGAACAGGACAACAACACGGCCTGGCATTTGTCTCGAAAGGTTGCGGACGTAATGAAAATTTGTTGCAAAGCTTGAAAACTAAAACCTTTACAAAGACTGTTGTAATATTCACATGCGGTCCGACCTATAATTCACTGAGTGACGATGAGCCTAAAAGGATTCTATTATTTTCTGCCCTTTAGTAGAGGCAGGTTTGAATTGTCCTCGCCCTCTGTGACTATTCCAAATGACAAACCCTACAACTCTCCATAAAAATGCTAATAGGGATTATGGAGGGAGCCTCCGGCACTTCGATCAACTGAAACAGGCCATTATCTGGAAATTTAGTTGACATTAGTCGTGATATGGTTCTTACGTAGATGCTTCCCTGCTCACTCCGTCTCTAGGTGAGGGAATTAATGCGTTTCAATAGAATAATAGAGGTTCTGTAAGGTGAAGGGAGGTTTCATGTCCCAGTCGCAGGCAGGTTGGTGATTGGCACGTTGAATCATCATGAATGTGTGTGTGTGTGTGCGTGTGTGTGTGTTGCGAGATAGGCGGAGGAACCGAACCCCCCGCCTCCGTCACATTGCATTACTGACTCAGTGGCATGGTATCATCACATCAAATTAGTCTTAATGAACACAAGCGAGTCGACTGAGGAGAGAGATAATCAAACTTTTATTAAATGACTTAATCCTCTGTACATGCATAATGTAATGGGAAGAGAGATGGGTCTGTGATGTTCCGTCTGCAAAGGGCGATGATCTTTACCCCCCAAAACATGTGAGTGTATGTGGAAGCCGAGCTCTCTATCGACGGTCTAAAAACCTACAGATTATTTGCCGCGGTGCAGCAGCTCGCTGAACAGCTGGAATAAAATCATCTAAATACAGGAAGTAAAATGCCTCTACCAGCCAAACCTGTTCCCTTGAGTAAACAAAAGAGATGCATTTCAAATAGTATGTTCCTTCAGTTCATTTGGTTATCATACAAAAAAAGAAAATGCACTGTAGCTCACTCCACACATCTTAGATGCCATAAACAGAGCAGCTAAACTATCAAATATTGCCATAACCTGTAAACAAGAGCAAAATCGCTTTTTTTTTTTAATTTTTTTTTTAAAGAATCCACATATAAACTAGACATGGGTTTCACCCTAAAACATTTCATCACTGACGGGTATAATATTCAGATGCTAACATTAAGATGCATAAAGCGTATAAGTGATATAAAGTCTTGCTTGTGCCAACTTTATCATTTAAATTGGAAATATTTCAAATATGATTTTCTTTATTCAGGTTTGTTGACGCCCCAGTGGGATTCAAATGTACCAAGGAATTATGGGAAGAAGGTAAATCTGGCACTAATTTAAAAAAAAGAAGAAGAAAAAAAAAAAAAGCACCTAGCTTAAAAATCTCACATGCATTGCAAGGCACTGTGCTCACTTTGGCTGATGGTACTGCAGCAGTAATTCTGTTGAATTTGGTCCAAGTGTTACTAAACAGCAGCTCTGCACTGGCATCAGATACAACTCAAACACTGCAACACTGGAGATGTCATTAATTCGACCTGGATGACTGGGTGTGTGCACTTTTTTTTTTTTGTTTTGTTTTTTTTGTTTTTTAGCCTCTAAACAAGTGTGAAAAGACTTTGTGTGCACTTGTTTTTGCAGCACATACATTCATTTTAGTTTTGCTTTTTAAGACCTTATTAAAAATCAATATAATGAACAGATCTAAATGGCCTATATACAATACATTTACATTAAATATGTATACGATGACAGGCGACTGTCAGGACAGGACAACGTTAGCCCCTTGTTCACTCAGCTTTCACCTCGGGGATGTATTTTAAGGCTGTGAGGCTCGGAGAACGACTACTTTACAGTTTCAGCTCTAACAGACAGAATCAAACAGAAGAAAAGGCCGCGATGGTGGACTTGACCCAGGGCAGGAGGAGGTGAGAGAACGGGGGGGGGTGCTGGGTTGTTTGCGGCGGGTCCGGGCTGTGCAGAGCGGTTCTACCTTGTCAGCTGACCCACCACCTTCAGCAGAGTCTTGTTCTCCTGTTTGAGTTGCTCATTCTCGTCTTCAATGTCATCCAGGTCCTGAAAAACACACACACACACACATCTGGGTGGTTATCACTCTCTGGACACACTGATCCACATGAATATTCATGACAGTACTTCTATAACTTCGAGAGGTCTGGTCGGGTTGTAAAGTGTGCATTACTTGCTGCCAGGTTTCCTCCTCTAGCCAGGCTGCTTTGATAGCAACAAATTAGGCATTAACAGCTTCAATTAGTTGCAAATGAGAGAGGCTCTTAGTTGCCACGGCGCCGTCTCATCCAAGTTGTTCCCCTCATTTTTCGGTTTCTTCCATCACTGGTCATGATCGCATGAGTGTTGGGAATAAACCTCATCGCACTGAGGAGAGTCAAACTAAAGAGGTGACAAGTTTCTAGGATTGATAAGAATGACTGTTTCAGATCACACAGACTGACCTTATGGACAAATGGACTCCTCTGTATACTCAATATTTTTACAATAACATATATAATGTGAAAGGGGTCGCTCTAAGCTGATGAAGCTTCAGTGACCAGGTGTCCCGCTTTATGTGGGACTGTGCAGCATTTTTATCCCGATGTCCTGCATTTTGATTGGCTTTAGTTTTCAAAAGTCAACACTGCAGGACAAATCTGGCTTCCATCGAATGGCTGTGAAGAAAACAGAGTCACCACTGTCACTCTGGGGCTGTGATGTCACGCTGCGCACACGTGGGTCAAGGTTAACGTGTCGCCGTCTTTGCTGCTTATGCTGCACCCAAAGGGGGAAAATTGCGAGTCACTGCAAAGTCCCCAGCTATGCAGATTTCAGCAGGTTATGATGGAGGGAAAATACAGCTGTAGAGATGTGCCGATCTCTGGCTGCGTTCCTATTGTAACCCAAAGATTATTTCCAGACAGAAAGGCTAACAGCAGCTAGAATAACTATTGTTCACCACACCGTGCAGCTCAGCATTGGTGATGTGTCCCACACTGTCCCACACAAACATACTCTTTGTGCCACATTTGCTTTGTTGGGGTCTGCAGACGGACACAGTTAGTGTCTGGTGAACATGGCGGAGTGTGTAGCAGCCACAGAGTCACATATTTCCCTCAGGAGTAGGTGGAGACCACGACCAGAGCTCAAAGAAAGTGAATACTGGCCTTATATTTGCCTGGTGGCAACTTAATGTTGTGCTTGCTAATGAATTCACTATATCAACATTAAAAAAAACTAATTTAACCTTTCAAAATGCAAAATCTACAACTTGCTGTATCATTAGCTGGAAGACCTCATCGTCGTGGATCTGACCTCTTTAGGATTCCTCTCTTCAAAGAGAAGAGGGAGATTCAGGTCCAGGAGTTGAGCTTTATCTTTTCTTTCTCTAGCAAATAAACTTCTACAGTTACTGAGGGTTCAATCATCCTCTGCAGCGACGCCAGACTGGATCAGCTGTTATCTCCCGCTTTCCCATCAGGCCTCGTGGAAGCCTCTCTCAGGGACATTTCAGATGGCTATCAGCATGTCGACCGTCCTGACACAGAGCCGTTCTCTTATGACCAGCTTCCTGTCCATGTGATGCTATCAGCAGGGAGCCCGCTGCAATATTGCACTCTTGGTGTTTGCAGATGGGTCGTGGAGCGTGTATCATAATGACAAAAGGGTCCAGATAATAAACAAGCAACATTCATTTGACTTTTAGCTGAAAATGTACACATCACTGACCGCAGAGCCTGAGCGCTTGTTTAGATTTGATTGGCTCTGCACGGGAGAGCTAAGATTTGTTTTCTCAGTCTGAATATTTGAGACATCAGAGTCTTTCAGAGCTACTCCCACCCGCCGCGCTCAGAGATGCCAAAAAAGCAGAGAGAGATGTATTTTACCACTAGTCTCGGTGACCCAGAAAACACAGGCGATGGCTGCGAGTTGAGGGATTGTTGACAGTCCGGGGTGAAAGGGAGATGAGGGTTCAGAGGGTTCAGGAAGGTTTCACTCCAGCTGCTCAGCATAAAGAGACATCAACTAACCTGAGAGTCCCCTGACCCCTCAACCCTGACCGCAGTGTGAGGAGGAAACAGGACCCAGAGCAGTGAGGCCAAACCAAACTTAAAAACACACACGACCCCTGCCAGTGGGTTCATGTCAGTGTAAAACACTCTGATGATAATTATAAAGAGAGGCAGCTTCTCATCACTCGTGTAGTTTGACTAAAGTGAACTTTGACCCTGCAAGCGCTTCATGACAAGTGTCCACAAGCAGAGAAGCACAGGAAGCAGCAAAAATAACAATATTTCTGTCACAGTTCCTCACTACATTCTATTCTCAGCTGGTTTTGAGTTTGGAGCGTTTTCTCACTGGAAAAGTTCATGGGGATTTGTCATTTGAACAGGAAAATTTATGAGACGTACTTGCATCACAAGTTCAGACTGTAAATACCTGGATTGAAACAGTTAAATAGATAGAAAGTGAATAAATCACTGGTAAACTGTTAGAGGCAAGTGAGGAGAAACCAGGGAGAGAACAAACATGACCTTTAGCAGCAGCACAAGACTTATGATCAACACTGCATCAACTGTTCTGCCCATTTACACGAGGGGGAACTCCACCAATCATGTTACAGCCTACAGACTGAAAACTCAGTCATAATAAATAACTGTATAATAACAATGGGAGTGTGGAAACAGAGGAAACATTCGAGTACGACCTTTGGAGTACAGTGGTGAAACACATCAGTCCACAGCTGGAGAAAAATGTCAGCTGATTGTGGATTAATTCAATTATAAAAGATCAAGCTGTAATCAACAAACTCCGTCCAGGGGTGTAGAGTGAACTAAAGCCCGTCACCATGACACCAGAGGTGGACTGACAATACCACACTGATTGGCTGAGGATGGCAGGGTTGTAATGTGGTGATCGTTTACTTTGACCTGTGGCTCTGCTTTACTGAATGTGAAATGACACAGTAATTATATAATGTTAAAATTCAATTTGAAAAGTTTTAATTGGAGGTATTTTGAACTCCGAGCGTTAACTTGAGCTCAGTCTCCGTTCTTCCTTCTTTAAATCAGAACACGGAGTGAGAGGTCTAACCTTTCTGAGATGCTCCGAATATCTAAAAAGGAAGAAACTTGGTGTTTAAAAGTTGAAGACTACAGTACGTCTGGTGCTTTCAGCTGCCACAGCACAATTCATTTCTCTTACTGGGCTGTTTGTTTTTTGCTTTATTGTATAAAACTATTTGTCCAAACCCTCTCGGATGAGGAGCACAACAGGAGTGCAGTTCTGAAAATACCCTGAAATTTAAGCTGACAAAAACTCAGAACTAATCTTTCTCGCTTTGCTTGAGACATACAATCACGTTCTTATCCACCAGGCAGCAAATTTGTTTTTGGTGGGTAAATCAATAAGAAATAAATGTCACCTTCTACACTGACCGCTAACTTTTGAGGCTCAAATGTCACCAAACCTCTGGTGCGTTTTTGTGTAGTGTTTAAAACGCAAACTGCACTTACTGTGCCTGTGAGCAAAACATATATCATTAATATGTGTGTAGATCCAAAAATAAAGGTTTGTTGATGCCCAAATCCTAATGGACCGCAAGAAAAAAAAACAAAAAAACACTGTAGAGAAACACAGAGCTATTATACACAACTCCAGTAAAATGCCAAATGATGATTTCCAGCCCCCACGAGCCGCCCACACATGAAAACACAAAGGATCGCTCAAAATATCAGACATCAGAGCAGAACGTTACGTAGGCTGGACTCACTCTGTTCAGCAAGTCAATTTCCTCCTTCAGCTTCCCGATGAGGTCGTCTTTGTCCTGATGGGCCTTCAGCAACCTGGCGTTCTCCTGACGCTCTCTGGCCAAAACCTACAACCACACACACACACACACACACACACAAAATTACCGACACGATTACATGAACAACACAGTAGATTGTTTTACCAGATGAAAATAGGGCATGAAATTTGTATTTAGGTTCATACATGTTGCAGTGGGACTAAAAACTGCCCTGTAATAACTTCAAGTTTGTGAGAAATGATAATTGTCGGATCCAAAACACGTGCACTGGAGCATTTCTGCCTGAAACGAAAACTCAAAATTAACTTTTGGAAAAGATGAAATACGTTTTGGGGGTTGCAGCAAAGTTCATGCACCTTGGGCGTCAGACTGTTGTGGTGAAGAGGAAGCAGAGCATGAAAACGAAGCTCCTGATTTACCTGTTCAAACCCTACACCTGGTTTGGTCCTGAGCTCTGGAGAGTGACTGAAAGAATCACAGATACAAGCCGTTCTCTTCACAGCTGCTGTTCACCCTCGATGACGGGGTAAAGGCTAGCTCTCTACAAAGCATCACCTGACATCATCTGAAGGTAAGTGTTATACATGTTTTCTGAAAGGCCAGACTCAAAGGCGGCACAAAAAGCCGGCTGTCACAGAGAGGAACGAATTCTACAAAAGGAGTCTCTCCTCAAATTCAACACCTGACCATGGAGGTACATCCCACCAGGAAGAATAGACTATGCCGGAAGGATTAGACAGTATACTCCCCTCTGACAAGTGGCCGAAATGGAAAAAGAAGAAGAAAAGAAAGAGAAGCTAAAAGAAGAAAAGCTCTAAACATTTCATATGCTAACGGCCTGTTTCAGGTGAATTTTAAGTGAATTCATCTTAACTGTTGTGCAGCCAAAACTACAACAGCAAACAGCCGAATTCAACAGTTGCAGCTTGAAAGAGACGACTTTATTGAAAACACATTTTCCTTTCACAAACATCTGCTTTTAACCGCCTCAGTCAATAAAAAAAACAATCACTTTTTGTGACGTGACAGTTTAAATTGAGTTTGTGATTTTCTATTTCCAAAACTCAACTCAATTCTGCAATAACAAATGCATACAGACTGTCAGTCAACAATGTATTAATAGTTGTTTTTATATAGTGCTTTTGTATTTCTTTTCAATGGCACTTGGTTAAAGGCCAAAAAGTTCCTGCCTCCTATAAAACTACACTGAAACAAATGAATGTTGTTCCCACCTGTGAGAGACAGAAATGCTGCTGTTTGTTTCTGATGAATGAAGATCAGACTTCAGATTTCTTCTTTCTGTAGCTGATAAACATGAAATTGTTTCCATAGAAACCAACTGGGCAGGTACAGTCGAAGGCACAAAGCATGATGTAGCCAACAAAGATATGTTCACCAGTGTTACACCACTATTCATAATGGGGTTTTTTTTTTTTTTTTTTTTTAAAAAGTGCCTCTTTGAAGTCTTATAGAATCTCATCCCAAAGACACCTGAACAAACACAGTGAAAACCAATACATCAATACAGGTTAAATCTCCATAAGCGTTTCTCTTTTTCTTGTTTGAGATATCACTTGGCTTTTTTTTTGCCTTTATTACGATAGGGAAAGTGAGAGAGAGACAGGAAGGTTAGGGGGGAGAGAGAGGGGTCGACACGCAGCATGATCAAACATATACATGTCAGTTTTGTATTCTGGGGACCTAAAGTTGCTGCCTGGAGTCTCAAGAATTTTACCTGCCTGACCTGTCGTACACACCTCCCCCTGTATGGAAGTGAAGTGAACAATGTGGACAAAAATAAGTTGTGTGAAATATGATTTCTTAAGTGTTTCTGGTCATTTGACCCAGACAAACAACCTCTCACTGAAGTCATCGAGGTCACAGCGGCACTTACTTTAAAAAGCCTCCCCCCCCCCCAAAGCCACCTGTGTGACATTTGATTCCGAGTTGAGTTTGTGCAGTGGCAGCAGTGAGTGGCTCGGTGTCTGATGGGGGTTGGTGTAGGAGGAAAAGACATATCTGCACTGTAAAAGGTCATCTCTTCAACAACACAGGAGAATTTCTGCCAGTGCTGAGCCGCGGTTTCCAGCCAGAAAAATCAGAGCCCGCGCTGCCGCTCAAGGGACTAAAAGTGGAAGATCGCCTGAACAAAGTGCCTTATAGTTGGCTAAAGGAGTTTTATATGGACCCTTGAAGAGCTCAGAGTGTATTGAAAAGTTGATAGGATTTGGTAGTGATAGCAGATTTCAATCCAAAAGATGATCTTTCCTCTGTGACTTTTACATTTCACAGGGAGGTCAATTTAACTTCAGTTACACTGAGGGAAGTAGAAGAAGAAAAAAAACAACAGTTTGGGATTTGCTCCTTCTGACTGATGCTTCATCAGAATTCACTTCCTGTTTCCAGGGTGTAGCTGGAAGATGAGTAAAAGCCACAAGATAGAAGAAGAAATCCCCTGTGTTTTGGTTCAAGTGTGGGCAGCAGCTACCACTGAGGACGCTGAGGGGATATTGTCACTATTGTTTCTTAAGGCTGACTGATATTTAGTCTACATCCTTAAATTTTTAAAGTTTGAATTAGACTCAACTTGGTCCTGTTTTCATTGTAGTTACAAATCTGATTTAAAGAAGCAGCAGGAAGAATAACCGCTGATATAAATAACTAAACTCCATTGGCCAGAGTGACGCAGTCGGCAAGATGTTCCATTAAGACTCGAGAGTCTCGCTCCGTATGCTGTCGCACTTTCAACAACAACAGGCTCTGACCTTTCCACAGCAGGGAGGTGATGAAACCTGCCAACATGTGTATTCTGACTCATCTGGACACCGACAGGAACCTCTCCAGTCTCAGAGCAGATGTCTGTGTCTACTCACCTTTTTTTTTTTTTATATCAGCAACAATGGAAATGTATGTATGTTTTAAAGCTGAACCTTAACCTTATAGTTTGACATTTCGGGGAAATCCCCCACTGTCTTGCTGAGAGTTAGAGGAGAAGATCAATACTGGTGCCTTTGTGTGAAGTATGGAGCTGTAACCAAGAGGCAATTAACTTAGCTTAGCAGAAATACAGGGCGCTAGGGGAAACAGTTAGCCCGGCTCAGAATAAATAAATATACGTCCACTAGCACCTCTAATGATCAGAGAGTAAAACATTATATCTCACTACTGGTTAAAGCTCATCTTGTTGTTTTTACATTTTTCTTTGAGCATGAATTAAACAAGCAAGATACACAAACACATGAGCCTTAAAGGTGACGGTATGCTAAGCTAACTGCCTTCTGGTTCCTGACATGAGCACTGTATCGATCTTCTTGTTAAACTCTTGGCAAGAAAGTAAACAACTGTATTTCCAAAAAATGTCTAACTATTCCTTTAAAACATAATGTAACTGGCTTGTGTCTGTGGAGCAGGTTCACACTGTATTCATTAACAATGACTAGAAGTAGCCGTTACCTTCTCCAGCTCCTCCATCCTTTTCTCCAGACCTCCATCTCTGCCGTGGCGGTTGTGTCGTTGCCTGCTGTTCCCACCCACCTCCTCCTCGGACCCCCCCGGTCCTGCAGAGCTGTAACAAACACACACAAACGCACCACTTTTTACAACCAGGAAACTTACTTTACTTACTTACTTCTCGGAGTTGCGGTGACATTCGATTTCCTGTGTGTCCTGTGCTGTGTTCACTCTGAGGCTGTTTGAAGGTACAAATCATAGAGACATTATTAAAACTTCAATGGGTGGGTGGGTGAGTGGGTGGGGGCGGGGGAGAGACACATCCATCATCAAAAGAACAGGTGGGAATATTGTCGGCATGCTTTACCTTTCAATTAGGCATGCATTATTAACAGCCCTCTGCCTTTTATTCCATTAACCGAGAAAAGGCCAGAGAGAGTTTGGTACCAGAAAAATAAAAAATAAAAAATAAAAGATTGTGATTAAGAAACCATTTACACTGTACAACTTCAAACAGGCTCTGGGATGGCAGCGGCTACTTGTGTGTCACTGTTCTCAGGCTGGTGGGGAAAATGGTTTTAAAGGTTTTTGTACGCAGCTCGAGCAGAACACTAACCTTATCTCCTTTTCACTTCGTCGCTGCTTAGAGACGGATTCTGGGGCAGCTGGGAAGGAATATTCATGTGCAGTTTATTTTCTTACTGATCTTATTTCAATAATTATTGATGTGGAAACTTGGAATGAGCTGCTGGCTCTGTACCACTGCGACTACAACGGAACAGAGTGTGCCAGGTTTATGAAATCTCCAAGGGAATCAATTTTTTTTTTTTGGGGGGGAGGAAGAGGCTGCAGGCTTCACTGAATTGTCTGAAGGAGGCTGTCAGCATTTTTATGCATCTGAAACAGACAGGAGAGCTGCTGGCGAGACAAAGGACAAATATAACTCTCCTTTGTACCATCTGCACTCCTTTCAGGATCTGCCAAATATGATGTTCCCATTATTAGACCACTTTACAAAGTACTTTTAACTCTGTGATTGGAGAGGCAGTAGTGGGCAATATGAATATGAGCTGTCACAACACAGAAAATTGCTTTATTTTGGCGTTCTTATAGCTTTTATTGGATAGCTGAAAGTGTAGAGTGACAGGAAACAGGGGGAAAGAGAGGCGATGCAACAAAGGTCCCCAGCTGAACACGAGGACAGTATGTGTCCTTCCTAACTGCTAGGACAGTCTGATTAAATAACCAGATGAGAATGTCTTTCTTGGCTAAAATAGTTAATTTTAATAGCTAGAAAATAAAGACTCTTCATCAAATGACTGTTGATTTTTAATTTCTCAGGCTCTGAAAATGTATTTTTGCAATTAACTTCTTACTGTGACAGATCACATCCTACATGAACACGCTATTTTCTGTCAAAGGTAAAACAGCTTTAGTAATTCTGACTGAGACATTGCTTCTCTGTGCTCATCTCACTGGTTTTCAGGTGTTTTAAAGGGAAAAAACTATTTATGCCCTTTGGAGATTTTATTGAACAATTTGGTTTTAAGGGGGAGGAATATTTCTGGAAATATTTAAAAACACTAAATTGTGCAACATCTATGTTCAGCACTGCTGCAGACAACATGGAGCTGCTGCAGAAACTCCACACAACTTCGTTACGTAATAAATCTAATGTGAAGTAGTGTGTTAGAGAGATCTGGAAAATCAATTTGAACATGGTAAATGGTTGAAGAACTTGGAAGAATGTTGTAAATAAATATGTGAAGGGAGCAAAGAAAGTTTAAGCAGTCTAAGATAATACATAGATATTATCACACTCCAGTTAAAACTCCACAGAATGAAACTGGTGAAGGAGAATTTGAAGCACAACTAAAGTGGGAAATTTCCTAAACTGTACATGCAAAGTAAATCTTAGTTAGTATTGGGTGGGTGGTTTTGTTCAGTATTCCCTGTGACTCCTCATTTATGTTTTTCAAATACCAAATTTATTAAAATCTGCTTTTTCATTTTCACTCAACTCTAATTAGCCTGACCTTAAGCAGTGCAAGGATTCAGGAATGAGGACAAACTGATGTAAACACATGATTAAAGTCGTTACATCTCTATCTTTTTAACTCAATCCAGCCTCTTTTCTCTATTGACGCGACTGTGCCATTTCTCATACACATGCAGAGGCAGTGTTTTTCTGTACCTTGACATTTACAGAACCAACAGCTTATTTTCTCTCATTCTTACAGAGAGCCGAACGCGGCAGCGGACATCGCTTTTGATCAAGAGGGAGTCCTTGAAGCGCTCTCCTTGGTGCTCGCCTACACCGAGATAAAGTGCGTTTCATTTGTCTCCCTCGTTGTGACTCTTCAAGGCTACTCTCACTTTGTCAGCACACACACAAGCACACATGCAAAATGGTTGTGCATGCACACACACACACACACACACACACACATACACATATACATTACAAAATGTGACACCTAATACATCCTTCCATGATGTTGCTGTAAAAAGAGCCAGAAAAAAATCAATGACACGCCCTGTGTGCTGTGTGTGTCTGCATCCACGCATGCCATCTTGTTTTGAGAGATATCTCCATTGTTGCACCCACACACACACACACACACACACACACACACACACAGGTACTCTGGGGTGCTCAGCAGGTGACGAAGCCAAGCCTAAACATCCATGGCCTGGATACTAAATATCACACCGCGGCCCATTAGCACCCCGCAGGATGAGGTCTGGGGGAGAGAGAGGCTGAGCCAATCACACACACTTGGGAGCCGCAGCAGGTGGGAAGGAGAGAGCACAGACAGAAGAGCCAATAACAGCAGCAGGCGCAGGTTTAACAACATCTCTCACAAACTGGAGTGTCAATGTGGAATAAGCCAAAACTACACTGGGAACAATAACACACAGTACTCATCCATCTGATTACCACCCCGCCAAGCTCTGACACATGCCATTCCTCCGAACAAAGAAAACATCAAGACACACTCCATTCACTGGCATTTTGAGCCGGTGGTTTAAAGATTTGATCAGTGAAATCTCTGTCCCTTTGCACAAAATGACTATGATTTATGGGTGGGGGCTTTCAGGTGGAGCTGATCAATGCAGGTCACACGATTTCCAAACAGGTAGAGGTGCTATAACCTACCTGAACCTGAACTATCCATCCAGCATTAACACCAGGTGTGCGGGCCTCAGCCTGCAGGATGTGTTTATGTTTTAACAAGCTGAAAGTGATCACATCTGGTTTGACTTCAGACAATGTTTGAGACGTGTCACGATAGTGGGATATGCAGGACGCTCACATGTTGTAGGTGTGGAGAGTTCCTAGTGAAAGATGTAGTAATGTGGTACATAATGTAAACATTGTTACGATGTGTAGCCTCAGGTCTTCTCACTGGAGAACATACGTGATAAAAATAATACTGAATTTGCTCCATAAAAACATGTTGAGGATTGTGGAGGAAGACACAAGTGCACTAGAGTTTTTGTAATTTCCAAGATATGCTGCTAGACAACACTCCTCCACTGTTTCACACTGTGTTTTTGTCTAAATCTTCCTTATTGTTTTAATGTGGCTCTTCAGCTGCGTCTGTGGCTGTAAAGTCAGAGCAAAGAGGAAACTACAGGAGGGAAGATGAGAGACAAACAGACCATAACTCATACAGACAAAAATACCAGCTTTTACCTTTTTTTTTAAGCTTACACAGTGTTGGCGTTACACATGCCAGTTACAAGTGGGCCGCTCATCATAATGACAGACAAGTGCTACAATTAGAACTTGGCAGACTGAGGGGTGGCAGGCTGGGACTGAAAATATACTGTATGCTTTAAGACAAAAAGCTGAATGCCACTGCTTTTAGCACGGTAGAATCACTTCTATTTTCTACTTTTAGAAACAGCTTTGTGTTGAATTCCCACAGTTAATTCAGGCCAAAATACACAGTGGAGTGCAGGGCAGTAGTAAGTAGTGTGAACCACTTAGCGGGTGAGATATCATTGAGATAAAGTGCTGCTTGACAAATCATTTGCATGCTGCATTTATCAGAGGACACACACAAAGTGTAAAATGTCTTGAGTTAAGTTCTGTTGAGCACGTTCAACCGTCTAAAAGCCAGACACTATGAAAACGATAGATATTGGACTGGACTTTGGTTTGATGTTCCCATGTAAGATGGAACATCAGGGACAAACTGTGCAGAGGAATGGCTTGAATCTAGAGGGTTGACAGAGAGGGAGAAAATCAGAGGGACGCTTATGTGTTAAAGTTGCTCTTTCGGCCATCTTGCGCTTCCCGGCCCACCTGGCGGGTTGTCCGTCGCAGAACCGTGGAGCGTCCAAGTGTGGACAGGCCAGCTGAGGAGAGCTGCAGCCATGATTACATGGCCAGATTGAATGTCAGCTGGTGAACTTGGCTGCTGGCGTTGGCCGCAACTTCCCAATTTGGTTGCAAATAATGCAAAATGAATACACGCCGGACACACAGAGAGGTTCTCAAAGGCCTTCACCACATGTCGTGTCAATCATGCGTCGCAGGCCGCATTTCCAGAGTGATTTCAATAACCGAGTGATTTTCTCTGATATAATTCTTTATCATGTAAAATTAAACGCACAAAAGGGGGGATGAACAATGTAAAATAATAATTCCGATTACTGTTTTTACACATTGTCGGTGCAAATTGCAAACAGATAAAAGTAAATTGTATGAAACAAAAAGAAAAAAAAAAAATTCTCCCGAGACAAAAGTGTTGGTAAAAACATCAGTCTGTTTTTTTTTTTTTTAAATTTTGAAAGCCCCTTATCAAATGCCAAAGCAATTTTGACCGAGCTGAGGCACACATTTCAGACTGCAAGCCTTTCAAAGCAAATGATTTCACTCTCAACACTCCCTGCCAGCTACTGCAGTGAAGTGACGGTCTGAACAAAGTGTCCAGGCTCCAGATGGCGTCCTGTCAACTACTCTTCAAAAGGGTCATCAACCGTCATTCCCTTTTTCTTCCATAAAAGCATGAAAAGAGAAGCGGGGAGAACAAAAAAAATAAAAAAATCATCAACTGTGACGCATTTCAGGAGAAAATCTGCTCTGGAAACCAACGACTCAAACTGCGATTTCTCATCGCCGCCTGTTTCTCCTCTTGACACACTGCTTGTGATGCTGAGGCAGATAAAGTCCACTCAGTGCCAGGATTTTTAAAAAAAAGAAAAGAAAAGAAAAGAAAGAGTCTCACCTCTTGTGCCGGCTGCTCCCACATCTCGGAGTATCCTGCAAGAAAAAAAACAAAACAATAACTTAAGGGTCCAAGGTGCATCTCCAATGCTTTGTGAGAGAGTGGTGCTGTTAAATCTTCATTTCACTAAAAACAGCAGATACCACGGAGAGGTTAAATATCATCTGCTGTGTTCATGCGCCCTGTGTTGTGTCGGTTCACCAAAGAGGGAAAACAAACACAAAATTCCATCTACAGGATAAGAGAAATTTATCGGGAGCATCATTTATAGAAAGACCTCAGGTTGTGTATGAGCATTTGTGAATCGCAGCTGTATAAATGAGCTTTGTTGCATTTAATAGTTCAGCAGGATCCGTGTAGCCCCAAGTTGTGGAGGGCAATCTTGTTTTGCAACATGGAGGTGCATATTTATCTTCTTTTCCCATTACTGTATGATGTAAAGGTTGTTTAGATGTATACTGCAGTGATGCCTTCGGTAAAATAACGCTTTCCTCGAAAAAAATGAGGTGTGTGTCACAGAGGCCGTGAAAGGAATACACATCTCCTCTCCTAAGGTCTTGTGCACTGAGGGGTCCCGGGTTTGATTGAGGAGCCTCGGCCGAGCCACGATCCATCAGTCAGAACTCGGCTTTGGCGGGTGAAGGGAAGCAGCCAGTGCCCGACTCTTAGCATGCACCGGCCGCTCTCTCTCTGTGACACATCATCCATTACCTGTGGATGAAATCCTGACCCTCATCTCTCCGTGGCTCAGGCCTGGATAGATTTACTGAGATGGGGGACAGTGAGGAGGCAGTCTGCGTCTGCGCATGAGGCCCCCGGTTCAAGCAGCACTTGGATTTAAGAGCAATCTGATGAATCTTGTTTTAGAAAGTGATATTTTCTAGGATTTTGTATAATCCTGCACCTGCCTTTTCAAGTGCAGGTTTGGCAGGTTTTGCAGTTCAAACTTTCTCCACGAACTGTCTCATCTGGAATCTAAGGCAGATAGATGGTGCTACTTAAAAAGGACTGTACGCCCTTTTCAAACTGGGCCTGAAACTATTAAACTTAAAAAACAGCAGGATTTTAAACTGCTGAGTTGTTTCTAAGAGACTTTTAGAAAATAAGAACCGGGTTGTGCACATTGAGTTTATATATGCACAACCCGGTTCTATGGAGTGATGCTATTTCTGAATAAACTTTTTAGTAAAATGTTGCAAAATGGTGAAAAAATGGGTTTTTTCAAGCTGTTTGTTTTGTCTGATTTGAGAAGCTGGAATCAAAATGACTCATTTATATATATAAAAAATAAAAATCTGTCGACCAGGCTTTTCAATATTACTCACATCTCCATCCCAGAGTGAACACTTAGATGTAGTAAGTGGCTATTAAACCTGTGAGAGAAGACAGAGTCAGTGTGAGGCCTCATAGAAACCAGTTTTAGTTGAGATATGGCGCAGATTGTTTTCAAAGCTGCTGTAAAACCAGCACATACAGTCAATATAGATCAAAGTATAGGAATAAAAACGCTATCTAAATGTAAATGTGTGTTTACTGTCTTGGTTTGTTTAGTTACACTAGACTGTGAAACCAACAGGATTCTTTGAATATGACGGCGTCCAGCGGGAACCTGACTATGTAGAAAATAATTATTTGCTTTCTCGTTTCTGCAGAAAATTCAATACATCTATTTTGTAAGATGCTGCATGAGCCTAAGTTTCATACTCCAAGGCCATTGGCTGACAGAGGAGGGTCAGTGCACTGCATTGATTATTTTCTGAGGTGTAAAAGGGTTGAAATATGAGTCAAAACAACAATATAGGAGAAGGTTGCAGCGGCCAGGAGATGCTGTGAGGCTCTGCCAGTCATCATTTGCACATTATGATATGTGCAGTGAAAAGAAAAGATCAAGAAAGATGATATGATGCGGAGTATAGTCTGTAAAGCAGAAGAGCTGCATCGCTTTGATACACCAATGCCAAAGTGGGGATGTCTAACCTCTTTGATAGTTAATGAATGTATCAAATAAAACTCTTGACGTTAGGTATGAGCGCTTCTCCACATCCACAGGAAGTGACAAAATCAAAACTTCAGAACAAAGAGTGAAATGCAAAATGTCTCCAAAAGTCATCACAGACTGACCAGGATCATCACTGTCTGACACTTTAGCTTTCAGAAGCATTCGCCTTGAATTAAAGGATCGTGTTTTAATTTCATTTGTCAAACCTTGTCTTTGTTTAATTGTGTTATCGAGCAGTTTAGTTACTGTCATTCAATTGTTATTTCTCTTTTTGGTGAAAAATTGTTTTTAATCCTGTTTTTTTTTTAAAGCTTTTTGAGTGAAAGCATCGCTGCATGAAAGGAACTATACAACTAAAGTTATTATGTTTGATCTGTTTTTAATTACTTGCACTTTGGCAGGATCTTGTGCTAATTCATAATCTTGCATCAGTCTTAAGTACTGCAGACAGTTTGAGTCAGTTAACAGAGGCAGCATGTCCACCCTCACTCGGATAAATAAATAGAAAATGCTGTTTATGTGTCAAACTGCGTTCTGCCTTCACAATATCTTCCTATGAATTTTCTTCGAGTCTGTCATGAAATCATATCTTGTTTGCAGAAAACATCCCAGAGCTCATTTGCCACATTACTCCTGCACCTTTTGGCATTGTTTCACAGTGTGCACCTCCTGTCTGGGAAATGAATCTGTGAGACAAGGTCAGTGCAATTCATGTACGTCTACTTCACTGCACACAATACGAACCTGTGCAACTTTATTTATCATGCTTGAGCTGCACTGACAGCTCCCATAAGCCCCACTGCAGAGCTCAGAGCCACTAAGAATACACAGAGACAAATATCAACAGCATAAACAGGTATTTTATTGTTAAATCTCAGATGATTACTACACAGTGTGCATTTCTGTGTGTTTGTGTGCCTGTAACTTTCTACGACTCTCCACGCACCAATCTGAAAGTGTGATAAAGCACTCAAATGTCTTGGTTGGGCATTTACAGCTTTTAAATGTCAACTCAGTCAGTAAAAAGGGGATCTCTGGCAAAACAGCACAAATCTGATAGAGATCACAATTTAACTGGAGGCATTCGGTAAAATCAAGAGAGAAAGAGAGATGCTCTTCAGATCAGAAATCCTGATTGGCATTTAGAGGAAGCAGGAAGGTGAAGGACTAAACCAGCAAAACCAGGTTACTGAAGAGTCCCACAATCACTGCCAAGTTCTGTATATATTCACGTGAGAACTCTTATGGCTGCGATCTATTTATGACGTCTACTTCTTTGTCATGATAATTACAGGCTGAATTTGTACCTGCTGCACTTTCCACTGCTCTATTGTTTAAGACAAGATGCTTTACATTTCTCCCACACAACCATTTTAATCGCACCTAGCTGTCTGAGTCTTTACTGCCGGCTGAGGGAATAGATGTCCTAACCTGCAAACTACACTGCAAACAGCTGCAGGAAGTTGTGTTGACCTCTTGGCCTTTTTGTGACAGGTGCACCTACTGCATGTGTGTTAAAGTTCCTCTCCAGACATGTTTCAGATGATGTAAAAACACTCTGCTATGATTAATATTTTGCTTCACACAATAAAAATGGATGAAGGAATGAGGACGAGGAAACATCGGAGAGACTCAGCCACATGTTTGAGCCTCAGTCAGATAAAAATGAATTATCAGAACGATTAGCACAGTTAGCATCTTTTACTTGTTTTTGTTGTTTGTGAGCTTGTAACTGGAAGTGGCTGACACAGTGTTGTGTTAATGCAGACTCTCGCTCTCTGTACTCGCGAGGTTTCAGGTTTCCTGTCCCCGCAGTATGACGGGATTGGTTCTTTAGGGTTTGCACCATTTAAATCTGACTTTCTGAATCAGCCATTGGTTCACTCCAGTTCCATCAGTCGTGGCGCTGAATGCTTATTTTACTTATTATATGTCCTCTATAAAAAAAACCCATATGGAGATGTTAACAAGGTTAAACACTTGATTTTCATCAGTGGGGGTCTTTAATCAAAGGTATTTTTTCCCTGTATTAAGATTCATAAATGAACTTTTCTTGCACCCATGCAGTGCCTGAGCTAGATAAAATCCAGGCTGCTTCATTTCCATCTGTACCTTCTTTATTTATGCAGCAGTGCTCCTGGTTTGCTGTGAAAAGCCTTAAGTATTTTTGCTGGTAGCTATCCTGTCTAAGATAAATATTGGTGTGGTTCAGTTGGCTTATATATTAGTAATCCTTAAAATGTTGAATCAACAGAGGCGTGAATGTGATCAAATATTGTTTCAGGCAGCAAACTGAAGTTCAGTTTGCCGCTAGTGCAGAGGAGCTGCTGCTGCTCCTGGTTAGAAATGTCGTGTGATGGGTAGTGAACATTTCCCTGCTGTTCAGACAACACGCTCTGCATCAGCACCATTTTTTTTTTGGGACTGAAAGGTGCTAATTACAAATGCAAATGAGGCTTGTTAAAAAAGTGCTGGATGGGGATTGTCAGCAGTATGTGTTTTCCACAGAGAGAGAGAGAGAGAGAGAGAGAGAGAGAGACCTGAGCCTCTCTGCTGTGGACCTGGCGCCGCATTAAAAGCAGATGATCGCGAGGAATGTTCCATATGGTTCTGGCTGCTGGATCCCTGAAACAGGTTCGCATGTAGGACTCACACACCAGAGGGAGGTAAGGCCTGATAACCAGGACCACATGCGGGCAGAGGGCCTCTCTGACGGGCCACACATATCAGATACATGTGTCCTGTCACATGGAGAGGAGAAGTGTGCTCAAGCACAAATGTTCATGTATCCCGGGTCCCCAGGAAGAGATGGAAAAAGGACATCGCTACAGAATTTAAAACATCTGATGAAATGTTTCATATTCAAAACCCTGTCTGGAGTTTCCATTATGTCTTCAGCAGTGAACACAAGAAGAGTTACAGCCTGTTTTGGTTGTGAGCTGCTCTGAGACCTGGGGACACAGTTAGCAGTCGTGCAGCTCTGAAAAGAAACAGTTGAGCTTCTTTTGAAAAACTTTTTTTTTTTTTTTTGCTCACATATCTTAGTACCAGCTAAAAAGCCCGACTGGATGCTCTATATCACATCAGGCCTGACATGGCAATTGCTCGTCTCCCCGGTGATAAATGGGCCCCGTGAGAGACGGCACATTTTTTGGATGCTGCGTCTTTACAGATGTCAAACTGACATCTCTGTAGTAAATCCACTGACCGCGCTCTTTATTTTTCTTTATTCCTCCCAGTCTGCCTCCTTATGAGCGAGCTGGCACAGGACCTCCAGCTATGAATATGAATGTCAGTCCTATGTGAGTGACAGTGAGACATTTAATGGGTAGTTTCTGCGAAGCTACATCTGGTCTGCGTTAAGCCTCATGTAGCGATGGCGTGAATGGACATATTCCGTTTCAAACGATGGACTGAGGATCTCGGACGTGTGGTCAAGCTGCAGAGACCTGACTCCGCTGAACCGCTTGTTGTTTGTTTATGCGAAGAATACTTTGTGTAAATAGTCGAGCGCTTTTTGTTTTTTTTCTCTGGGCAAACATCTCAGCAGGTGCTGTCACAGTCTTCCTGTTGGTGAGGTGTTTGTGTACCTGTTTCATACACAAAGCTTCGGTTTGTGTAAACAGCCTCAGACTGTTCCAGCCCAAAACAAAATAAACCTGCTGATGCATAACAGCCGATCCACCTGGAACCCCTAGCTGCATCCGCAAGAGTTGTCACTCAGCAGCAGAGCCACTTGATTTATACGTTTTCTTCTTTCAAATGGCAGTTTTCATATCAGTTGGATGTTTTTTTTTTTTTTGGTACAGAAGTACAAACAGAGCAGCGGTGTCAGTCGTTGTTACACAGCTGGATGCTTTTCATATCCTCAAATGCTTATTGAAAATCCCTGTGTGTGTTTGAAGTGAGTTTTAAATTACAAACGCTTCATTACTGAATATATGAACTTCTATCCCAAAAATAAAAGCGTGTCGTTTCTGGTTCGGTTTCATTTTCACTTGCTCATTTACAGCCTCTCTCTCTCTCTCTCTCTCTCTCTCTCTACAGAACTCCTCCTGGACGTATGAGGAGGAAGGAAGCGGCCCGTGTCTGCATGGCTTCACTTTTATTAAGTAAACACAATATTACCTGCCAGAATTAAAGGAGCCAACAGCATATAATTCACATTGTTAAGAACCAGACGCCTTATNCTCTCTCTCTCTCTCTCTCTCTCTCTCTCTCTCTCTTTCTACAGAACTCCTCCTGGATGTATGAGGAGGAAGGAAGCGGCCCGTGTCTGCATGGCTTCACTTTTATTAAGTAAACACAATATTACCTGCCAGAATTAAAGGAGCCAACAGCATATAATTCACATTGTTAAGAACCAGACGCCTTATACACAAAGCAGATCCTGACACTGGCTTTCAAATGAAGTTTGATGAATGCAGCTCTACACACGGCTACGCTGTGCATGTGATGAGGATGATACTGCCGTGGTGCTACTCATGTTTGGGAGTTCAACTGATGATTCTCAACATTATGAGTTATGTTTTGATTATTTTTTAAATAAGCAGTAAATTGCTCAGCCTATAAAATAGTGACAGACGCCCCTCACAAGTTCCCAGAACCCAAGGTGATGCCATTAAATCGCTTATTTTGCCTGATCAACAGTCAAAACATAAAGATATTGAATTTTCCATATATGGAAAAAACAAACTGCTACTACGGCATTGGAATACAATTTTTTTTTTTTAAGCAATAAGTAAATTACATCAGACTTGTGAGGCTCAATATCATCAAGTAGCTTTAACATCATTTCAGTGTTTTTCTTGTTGCTCTTAAACTTATTTCACGGTGATGATGAAACTCAGAGACACCTCTGAGTTTCTGCATCACCGCAGCTTTTCACACCTTTCTCACTCCTGAGCCGTCCTGGTGTCTCCCTGAGCAACAGTGCCTCTGTTTGGCAGCATGGATGTATGTATCAATCTGCGCTGCTCAGGTAAAGTGTGGAGGAAGAGTAGAGCGTCATACGATCCCGTGGCAGACGGTATAGATTGGAAAAACACAGGCGCTAACTGTCATGTGGTGTCACTTCTTACCATTAGGTGGCCGGTGGAAGGGTCGGCTGTCATGGACTCGTTCTGGAAAGTGTTGGCTTGCACCAGCTCCTCCTCCTCCCTCCTGTCCTTCTCCCCTGCGTCGTCATCGTCCAGCTCATCCAGGCTCTGAGAGGAGAAGAGCTTGGTGAGACTATGTTTGCATGAACACAAAGAAAGCAGGGCGAGGAAACCACATTAAGGAAAGAAATCTAGTTATTATGCACAGAAACAACCTGGGGTCAGTTTTACTAAATTCGCAACATGCACCTGTGGCTTGCTGCTTTTTTCCTCTCATTCTAAACAGCTGCTCTTTCCCTTGCCGTGCAATTGTACTGAAAACTATTGATATTCCCTTTCATGCTACTACCACACTGTTTCCACTTAAATCTAGCTGTTTCTCTTATCCATTATTCTGATTTTAAAGTTTTCAAAGTTTAAGAAATCAGGTCCCTGCAGAAAACCAAGAGTAGCTCAGTCACTTCGGTGCATGTTAACACTCAGATGACAGATGCACGGTGACAAGCGAGGTCATTTCCCACCATAACTGCGATGTTGACCTCTGCCTCAACACAGCCAGGGTCTCCTGTTAATCCTCTCAAGACATGATCACATTCACTTCCAGGAATCCCCGAGGAGCTGCAGCTCAAACACAAAAACCCAAAACACCAGACAGATTCAGTCAGGCAACAAGATAACGTCCTGTTGGAGGCCCTTTTCACCTCCTGAGGACAGTCAGAGGGGATTTTTTTTTTTTGACCAGTGGAATGTCCCTTGAAAACACAATAAAAGACATGTACAAACATACAGAGAGCAAACATCCCTTTTGACAGAGGAGTGGTGGGAGTTTGCTTTCATTATTTAGGCAGAGATCTTGCACATTGCCTGGGAAAACCTCCAACTTTACTCCTCGCAATCTGGATTCTTAGCTTTATCATGAAATATGTGCGCGGCCTCGGCTTCCTATTGGCATTACATTACAGTGAACAGAGCTGCTGCGGAGTTGCCGGGGTTCGGCTGTCGGGAGCGGTGAAGACGCATTGCGTAAACAGAGCTCGACATTAGGATGGATGGTTGGATTGTGACAAGAGACAGAGATCAGGGCCAAACTCCCAGAGGGGGCACAATGCGAACCAGTCTTTCCTGCTTCACGCTACAGGCCGAACAAAAGGTGCCCACTCAAAAGGCCCTTTAGTGGTAAAAATAGCCTTGCAAGGTTAACAAGGAATGCAGTCATTTGCAAAGCCTTTCCTGCCAAACGGTTTATCAGTCGTCCTTTGGGAAAACACCAGCTCCTTTTTCTTTTTCGACTCTCGCTCGGTGCCTCATGCGAGCGCTCTCTCCTCTGCCTCCTTGTGTAACTCGGAGTCCTGTCTTCATCTCCTAATGTGCATGTACAGGCAGTGGAGACAATAACAGGAACAAACCCTGCAAAAATCACGACTTTATTTATGTCAGAGAGGTTTTGATTCTCCACAGTTTGTGGTGTTCCTGCGCTGATATGCACCGTGTTGTACTTTAATTGTCTCCATCTATGTGTGCGCATGAAATGTTTTCCTGCAGCGATTTATGAGTGCCAGCTTGACAGGGCAGCATTTCAGGATGTGGACAAAACAATATGTGGGAAATAAAGAGTAGAAGTTTTGAGTTACAAAAAAAAAAAGAAAAGATATTAAACAGAAGTCCCGTCTGTGCTAACACACAGTGTATTGTGCTGTGACTAACCACTCTGCTATGCACAAACTTGCCTGAAATGTGGAATTGGGGATCTCAGAGTTTATTTTGGATTGAGATGCAGCCCTTTTTGCCCTCTAGTATTCCAGATTGCTGTGCATTTTCTTCTATTCCAAATAAAGGGAAAGGGGGATCTCTGTGCAACCATATAAGGGGAGTTTTTGCTCCTGACATCATCAATATGAGTCTGTGTATTTTTTTGGCCCATTATTACCTTGGACCGCGGAGACAAGCGGATAATGTGTGGAAGGATGAACGGCCGAGGGTTTGACTGATGGTGTGACTTAGATTTCTATGAGCTACGTGCTCACATTTCATCACTGGGAAGGATCCAGAACTGAGAATTACTAAAAATGGGACTCAAATTTAGCAGAAATGCTGCCAAAGAAACAAAGTACCATCTTTAATATCACTTAAAATATCATGCTCCTAAAGTTTGCAAATGAAAGCACAACTTGTACTGATATATTCTGACTGGACACTTCACATTGTTTTATTGAAAACAAAACAAAACAGATGTTCTCTGATGTTTATTTAATATTTTGCAGGGATATTTTGTACCAGGTTGACTGGGCTGAAGTTGGCTCATGTTTTTAGTTGAAAAACAGGTGCAGACACATGTAGCTTTTCTTCCCAAAATGGTCATTTGAAAGTCTCCTGTTCTCAATCTTACTTCTGTTTTGGCCCGGTGGGTGCACGCTGCCCAGATGCAACTGATTACAGAATGTATGATGGAAACACCAGGAATTTCAGATTAATCAACAATGTAGTAAACATTTCAAATTTGTTAAAGTATGTGACTAATAACTCCTGATATAGGATCATTATAGTAAGTCTCCAACTGAGCCACAATTTAGGTAATGCAGCAAAATGCAGCCAAAAGTCAATGCACATAACTACACCGGCATTAATTCCCCTGTTGATAACACATGTGGAGTCAAAGAGATTAAAGACTTGAGTGTGAGCTGAAAAGAAGCAGCCAGATTTCCAGAATCCTCTCTGTTTCCTGTTTACAGCAGCGCCCGAGTGTCAGGGCCTCACAAGACTGTTTACTTAACTCAAACAAGTACAACACGTATCCTGGTCCGCTCCGGCCTCGATACCCCGTGTCTGTCACTCTGCACATAAAGAATTAAAGACGCCACATCTGGAGCAGAGCTTCACGCTCTATTGGAATGTCTGTTGTGGTTGGAAACTCTCTGCACGGGGAGGAAAACCATCAGTCATCTATTCTAAAGCTCCGTTCCACGGCTGCGAGGATCTGAACGCATCTGACTCTTTGTCTGCACAACAGCGGGCTGTGACATTTACCTTTTTAAATGGCTGTCAAAGTGACGCTGCCCGATGGTTAACTTGACTGAGCCGAGTACATTTTGTAGTGGCAGTAAACCTGCAGCATTACACAGAATACATTTGGCAAAAGTAAAGGAGCTGAGCACCAGGAACACTCTGAAGGATACCGCAGATGGTGTACTTAATATTTGACAAAGACAAATGAGATAATAACTGAGCTATAAAAAAATAAAGTATTAAGTAAGAGGTGATGTTCAATGTGGTTTTTATGACTATAACATAAGCTCTGACAAGGTGAACAGAGAACACAGAGTTCTTGATAACGAGGTAGAGGTCAAATATCTTTAAAGAACACAAAGTCATAGTGGTCTTACGTAAAACATAAATATCTTTCGACACATTTTATTAAGCTAGACACACGACTGCGTCCTTCTTGGGAGTTTTTTCTCTCTGAGCAATAATACACAGAGTGGTTCAGCAGCACTGATGCGAGAGAAGCAGCTATAGCTACAGTGGTATCCGTGGCAACCAGCGGTGCAGCGATGCAAACAAATACAGCGAGAGTATCATTAAGCTTCTAACCAAAAATCACATGGTTTATTATCTACGACAGTGCGAGTAATTTCTGAAAAAAAAAATATCTACAAGAGTAAAACAACATGATCGTTTAAACAGGATCTGATTCAAGGTAAAGTCTATGGAAGATGATAATATGAACGTCAGCTCCACTACAGACTGATTATTGGCTGCAAATATATTCAATATTACCCCTCTAAAAACTGATCATAATTAACACCTTCCTCCTCTCTGAGATCCAACACAAACAGACATGCTGTCTTGTCACCCTGCCAGTGCCCTGTCCACTTAGTCCTCAGATTTATTTCTAAACAAGCAAAGGGCACCTCCGCCGGAGGCGCACTCTTTTACAGCACGCTTAATGACTTGTGTGTATTAATCACCTGCCACTCGCTGCAGCACAGTGACTTCATTAAGATGATCTATTAGAGGAGAGGGACGGTGGCACGCTGATGCCCACTGTCTTTTCATCAGGAGTGCCAGTCGGCTCGGACGACAGCTCGGACAGGCGCAGCGCAGCGCTCAGGTATGGCAGAGATCAAAGAGGGGACATCGGCCCCGGAGCTGCTGGCTGATTAATTTGACACCACAGACTGCCAAGGTCAGTGTTAGGTCCAGGAGAGGTGCGCCCGCTCAAGAGCAGGAGTGAGACATCATTTGACAGCATCAAAAAGGTGTGACTGGACCTTCACTGACCTGTGGCAACAATATTACATTTAATCCTGCGAGGGAAAACCAGTGTGCGCTCTGCTGTTTGAATCTTTGAATTTTACTTGACCTTTATTTAACCACCGAGAGCAAATTCTCTTCTTCACAATGAGGCCAAAATGGCAGCATAATTATGTTACACAGACCGACATTCACAGGCGGAAGAAGAGTTACAGAAACACAATTTTCTCAGCAGAAACTACAGCTGTGCATTTTTAGATTTATCACAACTGGCAAAACCCAGTCCGCTTATAATCATACTCCCAAAATCTGATGCCTTTTCATTTAATTTAAGTCCTGAAATTGCACAACAGGGTTTTTTTTTTTTTTTGTGAGAGGGTTGTTTGGGGACAGAGTTGAGTCAAACAGCGTACAAGACATTCTCAAGAATCGCAGCTTGTATTGGCCACAAAGCACAAAGTTGCTTTCTTTAAAATCGAGTGTTTATCAAGTGAAAGCCTTTCACTTTTTGGCTTTCAACTTAAAAGTCAACTTGACTCTCATTTTCACCCCAAGTGAGACTATAATGTTTTAATCAGCACTCAGCCAGACCTCAAAATGAGTTCTCTTTACACGAGGGAGGGGGGGGGGGGGGAGCAAAAAAACTTTCAGCTAACAAACAACGGGGGTCTGGCTGTGATTGTTGACCCAGAGATAGCAGCATCAGCATTCCTCTGGATGTGTCAGACGGAGCTGAGGCCTGAGGGCAGGCCAGTCGGGCTCAGCAGGGCTGGGCAGAGATCTTTGACCGTCTGCTACAGCTTTAACACATCTGTGGGAAACAGCACCGAGCGTATTTTGAGTTTGCCAAACTTGTT